TGATATTGTCTTTTTGAAACTGAAAATATACTTTTACAGTGAAAGTCTGGCAACAACAGCTGCTGATAATTTACAAAAAGAATAAAAACATCTTTATGCTAATGACAGTTAATTTGGAAGCAATGTGTATTCTATGATGTTCATTAGGCCTTTCGTCACCTTTAGACACTCTTATCTCACAAGCCCATTATTCCTGGTGTCTTGTGTGTCTTCCTCCTGTTGTGACCTCGGCTGATGGACACACACAATCCTCTGAGTTAATGATTACTTTTGTCTCAAGAGGAGATACCTGACCTCCAGCTCGACACAGTGAGACTCTGGCTCTGTGGGTACACTGATAAATGAACGAGCTCCAGGGATCCCACCTTCAGACTGGGCAGCATATCTTCACAGTCAGGCCCGTCCTAAGGGCTGTGCGACCTGTGCCGTCGCACAGGGCCTCGCACCACACAGGGGCCTCGCAATCTTCCTTCCTTTTATTTTATTTTATAAATACACTAGTTCAAGGGTCCCCAAAGGGCAGACTGCACTCCAAATTTGGAACCCTAAACCCCTTTCTCTGGACCTCTTTGATTTCGTTTGATCAAAAGAACATTTTTACAAGTAAAGTCAAATTTTCACCAAAAGCGATTTGTAAACAGGCAGGCGCGCGGGCAGCTATGTATGCAACGGGTCCTCCGAAAAAACTGTCAGATAACTTTAGCAGTGTCTGAGTGAGATACAAAGAAAGTAACGGGAATGATCGCAGTGTAGGAGAGATGGATACTCGCGGAGGAGGAGCAGTGAGACAGGTGTGAGCAGAGGAGCAGACCCCTTTGTGTGAGCAGAGGAGGAGGAGGAGGATCAGCGGTGTGACAGGTGTGTGAGCGCTGCTATTGCCAATGTTTAGTCCGAATATCCACATCAAAAACATATTTTTAAAAGCATTAGCAAACACACTGTATGTCTAGCTTTAGCTAGCTGGAGTGTTTTTGTTGTGGTCAGAGTGTGTGGAGGAGGAGGTGAAGAGTATTTTGTTGTTGTCAGTGTGGAGGAGGAGGAGCGTATGTTGTCAGAGTGTGTGGAGGCATGGCAAAAACGTTATTTGATGAGAAAAAAATAATATTGACTCCGCCTCATAGCCATTTTGGCGCATTTTGCCAAAATCTAACTATTAGAAGAAAAAGACTCCTTTTGGTTCAATCTTTTGAGTTGCTCTGCCATTTTGCCACAGGACGAAAGAGACATGTCAGCTAAAAAGACCGCGACCAATATTGCACGTAGAGTGTGTGTGCGTGTGTACGTGCGCGCGCCAAACGCTGCATAGGAGCGAAGACACTCGGTTACACGCGTGCTGATCTCGTCAAGCACCGCGCGAGGTGGTGCTGAATTCATGTCAAAGATTATAACAGGAAAAACTTTCCTCAGATCTGGGAAAAAAGTGTCAGGGCAGGGCCTCGCGTTTCGAGTTCGCACAGGGCCTCGCACCCCCCTTGGGACGGGCCTGTTCACAGTGCTGCTGTTTTCACTAGAACAATAACACAACTTCAAAGGAGATGTTTTTGTCATGAAAAGAGATGTCACTAAATGTTCGTGTTATAAATATTATTATATGTTAAGAATCTTCCGGAAGCAACAAATATTCATGATTCAGGACCAGACAGTCTTTTCTCATTTCTTCTTTACTTTTCTTAATGCCCTAGTAATTTAATATAACAGAAACAGTAAGAGCTCTTTACCATGTGTCTTTAGGTTTCAACTCCACTACCAAAAAGAGATCCAACTCCAATTACTAATCCACTGACTATAAATTCATTTATATAATGAGGATGCTTTTAACAACTTTGTTACAACTTTTTACACTGCTGTGGCTTGGACTTGGGAAGTTTGTGCCAAGCCACAAAGACGAGAGAGACAGGAGCAGAGAGCAGAGGCCGTGGCTTTTTCCTCGCATGAACATTAATAATATCAGTAGTGACAATAGCAGCGCTGAGATCAGAGAAAGCACCTCCATTGTCTCCATGTCTCATACTGACACAGGCCGCTCTGCCCGTGGAGAGGGGAGGACAGGCCATCTCCAGCCTGTGATAGGATAGATGCCTGATAATAATGTTGTAAAAGAATTACAGCCAGTCCTTATAGTACAATCTTAGGTCTTAGTGGAAAGTATTGTGACTGCATCTACCTACATCTACATATTTTTCTACCAATAATGAAGGAGAGAATCACAGTCAACCAAAGGATTTGTATTCTGACAACTTTAATGGTACAAAACATCAAAAACAAATTAAACAAAATACATTAGTGAGCCCCTTCCTAAACGCGTGCATCTTTAAAAGCCGTGAGTTTGGTTCATGGTTGTCACAAACTGACGCCCTGGTCGACTGGGAAGTGCATAGTTGTTATTTAAAAGAGTCGCTGAGGTTTACAGTACTCTGCCTCAGGCTGATCTCACTTCTCACTGTGACAACGGCACAGAGGCCAGTGAGAACTGGACAGTGTCAATAGATCAGAGGTCCAGCAAGTGACCAGGAAGTCCCTTTGGTCATTTATCATAGTCACGGACAAGCTCAGGATGGGACAGATCTATGGAACAGGACCATAGATATATGCTGTAATAAGACAATGAAATGGGCTTTCTCATGTTTATTCTCAGTCAGATAATTAGTTAATGGAGTTGTGGCTTATTGCTGTTATCCATTTAGAATGCAGAAATATACCTACAAAACAGGAGTGCTTCCATTAAATCTGATAACAAATTACACAGCTAATTTCCTTTGCTTTATGACTTCACAGTTGCAGAATAGCAATCGGATTATAACAGTGAAGACAACACTCTTTTACTCTATAGCCATAAAAAATTAGATAATAGTTCAATAAAACAGCTGTAAAAAAAACAGTGAATCTAAGTTATATCACTGCTGGAAATGTATTCAAGGGAACTCCCTTGAAGGTGCCTTGGGATACTATGTGCTGTGGCTCAGGCAGACAGCATTTTGCCTAAGCACAAATAAAGAAGATGAATGTGTAAAAATCTGAAAGCAAACATGTGAGATTGTCAACACCACAGGACTGTGGTAAATGATGATGTCGCTTAGTGCTTTGACAGATCATTTAGTGCCTGGACAGTGCCACAGTCACTCCACTTCTCCTCCGCCTTCTCACTTCTCTCCTGGGACATCAACTCCATCCAGAGCCATTTTTCAGCCAATTTATTTCTTGATGCAGTCTAACCTGGGTCATGTCCCACCGGGGAAGCTTTATGTGGTGATTAATGACGGGTATTTAGTCCAGGTACCAATGGGAGCCAGAGCCCATCTGCACTGCACTGACAGGTAGAGAGTCGACAGTCCCACAGTGAGCCTGTGATTATGAAGAGAGTCACTGTCGCTGCTGTGATTCTCTTTTAAACATATGGGGGTCACACAGATATCCTCCTGTATGACTCTACTTTTATCTCCACGTGTGTCTGTGGAAGAAGCAAGGCAGTAGCCAGATGATTTAGACATCCATTATACGCTTGAATGGAGCTGTCTCCTCCACTCCATCAGGGTCCGTCCCAGCCCAGAGCAGGCCCAGATGCCAGAGCAGCCTAATGAGATTATGCTGCGGACAGGTTGGTGGCCAGTAGCTGTCAGAACCGCTCTGTCTGTGTCCGCAGACGTACGCAGACATCCGCAGATATGAGCGCAGCACTATGTGACACCAGGCTGTGTGATGGTGATTAATGAGCTGGTTAATCCATACTCTGGTTCTGCTTTCACACACACATACAGATAAAGAGCCTGAGGAACAGGCTGCCCCTCACTTTACACTAAGACCAGACAAACTGCTCATCCGATGACACACTGCTGGTGTTCGCCTACTTTATTAGGAAGGTGGACACATTACTGAATGCCGCCCTAATTGATGGATTGCATTTTGGATAATGACATAGATCGGCTCTAGATGAAGTACAATGCATAGGAGCTGTCCACAGAACAGCGGCCTGTGTGCACAAAGCCTGAAGGCTTTGGCCTCGGGACTCTTTGAAGCCCACTGAGATCAAACAGCAGAGTTGGCCATGCACTGTCTAGGTAGAGAGCAGGCCCCAACATGACACCACGGGCTGGACTGCGGAGGGAGGGACGAGGACAATGGCTGTGGGACAGGGTTGCCCACTTCCGAAGATAAAATCATATTTGTAGGGCAGGCGTCCAAGACCCCTCCTTGCGCTCCTTTGCCCCGCTTGTCCTTTCCTGAATATGGACAATGACTGTTTGCATTTACAGAACCATAAATCAGAGGTACCCATTGCCACAGAGCAGCTGGCACGTTTGCCAATAATTATAATTATTAATCATGTTGATTTCATGGTCTTCAGTGGGACTGCAGGAGACTGCACGGAACAGGGCGCGGCTGGCGCCTACAGGACCGCAAAGCAGGCTGGGAAGGGTGGTCTATATCAAGGGGGAGGGGTACCAACTTGTGAGGCTTGTAAAATGTAAATTATTTTAATTTCCCGTCTTGAAACTTCATATCCTTCATTCTTGACACATTTGATTCTTGTGTGATTGATGTATTCTAACAGGTTGTCATTCACTGTTCAAGTTTGACAGTTCATTTGCTTTTGAGATCAGGGATATGATGCTTGTGTGGGAACTAATGAAAGATTTAACAATTTACTTTGTGTCAAATCCAAATGAGTCTATCCCCAAATGTGCTATTTAACTAAGTTTGACTAAAGCAGTTTGCGTTGTCTCTGCAGCTTCCCTCTGCTCAACAGCTGCTTCCATAGCTCACACATAGACACTGCCAGCTCGTGCCGTCCTCTAAAACAATACTAACCCTGGACTGGGGTGTAATTAGCTGTAGCAGTAGAAAAGGGTTTTCTTTGTTAAAAATGTGTGGGATGCTTTCCAGTAAGTGCGTGTATGCTACAATATGTCGGTACATGCGAGCATATGTGCGGCCAAGTCTATTGTCATACTGTATACATTTGTGCTGAGGGCTTCACTGCCCGCTGGACAGATGGACGCTGCATGGGTGTGATCAACAGAGACCTGAACCCCATGGTCAGTACAAACCAGTAAATACCACGAGGCGTTTAGGGTCCAGCTCTGCTCACTGCTGAACACATGTCTGCTTTTGGCACAGGGACACACTGAACAGATGCAGCATTTAATTCTGGAAATCAAACCAGAAAAGACACACTTTTTAGGCTTCAGTTTCCAAGAAGTGTTGTACAGCTGAGTGTCATATGCTTAGTTAAATAATGATGTTGTTTGAATTAGATAAATAATGTATAAAAGCTAATTAACTTCTTTGTTTTGACAAAACTTGGTGAAAGACAGCTGCTCATTCAGAAACTCCCAACTAAAAGTAAAACTAATGTGTGATTTTGTAGGCTTCATGTTTCCTTTGCACAGCCATTCATCCTGATGCACCGATAAGTAATCCTTTACTTGCTGAGCTAATATGGTGAAACAAATTGATACAGATAAATAAAATACACAGCTTTTACTGGTAATAGATTAAGCAACAAATATGGGTTTGATTTAGATTGGATTTGCATAATTGATTCTGTCAATACTAAAACTGTCTTTAGTATTTTTTTCATAGTGCTGTTGTTGGCTAATAAACTAAAAAGATCTAGCTTTACTGGTCCCAGTTGACTGTCACACGCAAACCACTGCGTTCAGTGGAAATTCTGAGATCAGATTGATGGTTAGTTCTGAGCCACTGCCGGACTGTACCGGCATGTCATAGGGAACACACATGGGGAGAACATGCAAAATCTTTTATGAGTGCCTTATGGTAGCTATTTGTTATTGCACTATAATGTCAAAGCAAATCCCTTTATTTTGTAATTTTATTCAGAGACAATGGAAATAAAAATATTTTGATTCTGATTGAAAGTAGCAGTTGCTACGACAGAGTGACTTACAGTGAGTGATCCCCAACTCACCCAGAGCTGTAAATCATCAACTACTGTAACATGACAAGAGAAGGACTTTCCACATGAATCCGATTATTTTCTTAACTTCTCTCTGGAGGAGGAGATGTGACAGTAGGTCTGATGGATGACCTGAAAACAGCTCAGTTTGCTAAACTCTCCTCCTCTGACTCTCCCTCTCTTTGCCTTGCATAACACAGGGTCCCTGGGAAGTTTAGGACAGGGGGGCGGACTTGAAGGCCAATTCTACAGACAAAGGCCCGTGTTCAGAGCCCCTGTCCTCAGGGAGAGTGATCTCTGCTGCGCTGCGGCCGTTAATAAGCTGCTAATGAGGAGACAGACCCCTATTCTGTGCTTACATCAAGACAGATGGACACATGCGACATGTTTGTTTTACACTTCCTACTGATATGACGGATGAGACAAGACAAGATCTCATTAGCTCTGAATATAGAAGAAACACTGGCAGCCGCCATTCAACATCAATGGGCATTTAACATGCACAGATCTGTGAAATTAAAGATGGCACTCTGAAGTACTGCACTGATCAAAGTCTTCAAACTGAATGTGCTCACACCACACAGTCTCTTCACTACAGAATTAGTTTAAATAAAAGGTGGTCTGCACTACCTGATCAAGCGAAAGGAAGTTAAAAGGTTTGTAACTTTTCAGTAGAAAAATATTAAAAAGTTTGAAATGCTGTTAAAATGTATGTGTTAAGTTACTTGAAACTATATACTTCATATTCCATAGGAATATATAATGACAGTAAGACTCAAGTTACAGACAAAACACTTTAAAGAATAAACAAACAAGATTTTGCCTTTGTTTCAGTTGTCATGGACTTGTTTACTACAAGCTGAAAAAGAACAAATAAAATACATTCTGGCTTGTTGGAATGTTCCAACTCTTAAGCTTGTAGATTCCTGAACATCATTGCTCATCTGTAAGCTTTTCTCTTCTGCTCTGTGGTCTCAGTCTGACGAAGTCTAGGAAGTAACCTGCAACAGACTCGGCAGGCCAGATGTGCCAGAATCCTATTAAAGATGACACCAGGCTGAGGAAGTGTGCCAAATCCAACCTGCTTTGTCTTGTCCCACAGAGGAAGAGGAAGAATGACAGTAACAACCTAAAGTGGCTCGCTCTCGCTCCGGGCTCCATCCTCTTTGGACGGTCCCGTTTGTGCATACAGGTATTCATATGGATGTGCCCCAGCAGTGAGGATAGCCACTCTTAATAGGCCACTAACGGGATGACCAGCCCTGGGACAGCCCCTCCGACCCCCCAGTATTGACGCCAACAGATGTGTTTGATGGACACAGGGAGAAAGGAGGTGGAGACGAGCAGTGGGGGGTGTGAGTGATGGACAGGTCCCGGAGAGGCGTCAAAAAGTGACAGTATACCCACTTTATTTGTTTGTAAGAAAGCTTTTATTTGATTATTTTTAAGCTGGGGGGTTCTTTTTTTTGCCCATAAACCTACATTTCTTGTAGCAGTGGAAACATATTTTTCAATAATGGTAAAACATTTGCTAAGCACTAGATAAACTCAGTCCGCTTTCAGTTCTTGCTGCAGGGAGAAAAGTGAAACCACAACAGGACAATTAGCAATTTTCACTTTACCGCCTTGGGTAAGATTTAATCTGCATCTGTTGATTGGATTGCTGAATGCAGTTCAGGTCACCAAAGCTTCTGAACATGTTTCCGTGGGAAAAGAACAACAACAAATTTAACTGATGTCTGTGGACACACGTAACAATTTCCTATGTGTAAATCAAAATCAGAATGATAAGAAGAGATGGGAAAATGAGAAGAGATTATCCTGATCCTGTAAAATACAGCATCAGGACCATTTAACCGCAAGACTTTCCAACATTTCCAGATAATGAAGACGTCTGTTGTTGAAGGAGTCATCTTGATGAAAAAAGTCAGTGGAACAGAGCGGACAGTGCGCACTGACAGAAAGGAATCGAAAGAGGAGTCTTTGGAGCGATAACACCTACTGAGACTAAAAAGATCTGAAAAGACTTAAACAGCAGCTAAAGACATTTCACTGGTGAAAGAATGACCTGGATCTAGACATTTCATGTTTCATGCTATAAGGGCCAAGTCTAAGTCATGTGAGTGTAAACTGGACATGTGACAAAAATAAGAATCAGACATATGCTAGGTGAAAATAAGCAGAAATTGGAAGTTCAATCATTAGGGAAAAAAACAACCGCCAACAACTTCCAACTCTGAAGTAGTGGCTTTTGTGTTGTGAGTGTAATCAGTGTAATCTGGGACTTTGAGGAGGTTAAAGTACTTCAGGATCAACTGAAGAACGACAAGGATGAAAGTGCTTTGTTCCGCCAGAGTGAACATTTTCAATGAAAACCAAGCTCTTCACTAAGAGGCATAGTAGTGAAAACAGGGCGATAAGGGGCCAAGGTAGAAGTTTGAGAATCGGGACAGGAATGGGGAAAGGAACTTCGGGATCAAATCTATTTAGTGTGTGACATGATCATTGTGGAGCAGGAGAAACCCCCTACCCCTTGCAGATAGTATTGAACAAGAACAATGAGAAAAACCTGGAAGAGAACAAGTTAGATCTGAACTGAACCATGGAGAAACAAAACTCTGGAGAAGAGACATTAAACTGTCCTAGTGTCTTTCAAAATTACTCTTAAGAAGCAAAAGTGTAAGCCAATTTCTGCAAAGCAGCTTGGTCTCAGGCCCTGCAAACCTTAAGACATACCGTGCAAAGTATGGAAATGTCACCATATCTTGTGAGGCGCAGAACTCATCCCTGAACACTGGAGATGTTACAATCTGTATTAAGACGTCGAGCAGTCTGAACAGGGTGTGATGAAATGTGCTGGTGTTGGTGGTGTCCTGGCTACCAGCTGCTGGATCCCAGCTAATATTCCCCACTGGATGCTCAGTGGGTATTAGCACAACATCTGCTGCTTCTGACATCTTCAATATCACAAATCAGAGCAGCATCAGTGAGGAGGTGAAGCACCTAAATGCCGTCTTAAAGAGTTAAATTGGTTAACAGTACACCTGTTGTTGTCTTTGAATGTTTTCAAACCAATAAGAACGTGAACCTTCCAAGGTCAAATTTGAATGGGTTCTTTACATCACAACAACACACCAATTTCAGCTCAATCGATCCAGTGGGTGCAATCCTGCCCACAGACAAACACACACACACACGCACGCACACACACACACACACACACACACACACACACACACACACACACACACACACACACACACACACACACACACACACACACACACACACACACACACACACACACACACACATATACCGGGTAAAAATGCTTTTTGCAGCCAGAAGGTTTCCACCTCTCTCACTTACACTGGCACAGATTAAAGCCTTAGTCTGCACCTTGCATCTATTCATTACATGTCTGTATTCAGAGATCAGAGTCACACAGGCTGGCCCATCCCGCAGACTGCTGTCCCGTTGATCTCTATGTTCTGATTGGGTGAGACCTCAGGGGAATTATTAGGTACAAAGCGTTAACATCTGCCGAACATTACAGAGCCAGAGCATCAATTACTCTATTAGATGAGATCAGCTCATTTTTGTGTGTTTGTGTGTGTGCTTGATTGTTTCTTCTGGGTAGGAAATACACTAAATTCATAACAACCTGTCTTAAATATGTAGTTATGGGAAGAAAATTATGACTAGATTAGACCAACAACAGTGTATAGTATTTAATGGAATGTTTCTACCTCTATTGTGGTTTAATACCTGTTGTAATGTTATGTCCCATCCCTAGTGGTGATGGGACTTTTTAGTGCCTGGTCTTGTCACACCTCACACATATACATAAATGTTTTGCTCCACAATCAACACCATCCTCCCAACTCTGCCTCAGGACAACCTCTCCCAACATGCCGGATCAGTGATTTCCATATGGACTTGCATGCACAGCTGTGGTAGAATGTCTAAGACACAGCGCAGGACCATCTCCCCGTTATTACCCTGCACACAAACCACCTTCAGCCTCAATTTTGTAAAGCTTATAATGTAGACAACACCCTCCTCAATGGACAGGGATGAATCCTAATGCCGCATACCCAGGTGCAGGGCCGACTCAATGACAACACACCCATATGCAGTTGTCTCTCTAAGCCCAGAAGAGCTAAAGATTATTGTGGACTTCAAGAATATTACATCCCTGTCCCCACCCGACTGACACCTCCATCTCCAGCATAGATTTCTTCTTCCTCAATCACTTGCTTCCGCATCATAAAGGCCAAACCAAAGTGTGTACACCCTGTAGCAGGGTCCCATATTCAAACTTCTTCACAACTTCATCCTTGGCCTCTCTGGTGGACTCCTTGGTCATCTTGATGTTGTTTAGTGACCAAGAGAATCTAAACCCACCTCTGAGGCCACCACAGAACAGCTGCAAATGTATTGAGTGGACTAAACTGAGCTGGGCTGTATTTAATGATTGGGGAAAGCTTTGAGCCTTCAGCTGTCATTGGGATACTATCAAAAGGTTTTGTAAAACACCACACATTTTGTATGCACACAGAAGCACTTTTTTGTTTAAACTAACAAAATAATTTGGTTTTACAGTTGTCTATTACATTGTGTGGTCTTTCAGTAAAATGAAATCTGATGTTTGTAGTCATATCATGACAAAATGTTAAAAGTTCAATCTGTATGGGCACATTTGCTTTCTATTTTACACAGCATAACCTTCTGGTTTCCTCTGTAGCTACAAAACAGCTAAACTGTGTATCCATGAAGTCTGTTAGTGTCTGTTTATCATTGTTTGTAATCATTTAACGGCCCTCCTGTGAACTTAGTTGCAGGATGTTGATGTTGCCATTTAAGCACCGATGGACAGAAAGACGTCTTTTAGGTCATTTGTATCGATCTACTTTGATTGGACCATTAGCCGTGTTTTTAGCCTAAATTATATCATTTTTAAATAAATGTGTCTTTTTAAAATGTCCAACATATAACATGTATGTATATAGCAGTCAAAGGGCATAGTGTGTCTTTTTCAAATTAAACTTTTCTAAATGTCTATGTTTCTAGGTGAATTACTCCAGTCATACTCTTTTTCTCCACGAGCCACCCAGCCACCCACGTCCCGTGTGTCAGCCGCACGCGTTGACAGATTATTTACATTTGTTTGTTCTCCAACAAGCTGTCTGGGTGTTGTTAGCATTGATATTGATCAAAATCACCAACTGTGACGGAGTGGGCCTGGCAGCACCATCAATGAGGCGGTGTCATGCCAGCTGAAAGCAGGCCAGGGGGAAGAGCAGGCTAAGTGTGCCTTTAGCTAACGCACACGCACGTACACACACACACATATGCACTTCATGCATCCAGGATGGGTTACAGTTGCCTATGACAGTTTAGCTTTTATTAAAGAAAAATTGGTTAAAGAACACCCAAAGAACGTTAATGTTTTGTTGCCAATAAATTCATATTTTAAATTCAGAAAATAGGGAGATTAAGTTCTTGCGTCCAAGAACTGCTTGGAAGAGACAAAACTCATTCAAATGACTTAGTGTAACTGTACTGTAATTTGTCAAATAATAATGTTTGATTAGAGGATTCTATGATTAATGCTTACCATATCTAGTGTGATGTCATTGATCAGTAAGTAAAATCATCTTTTGCGAAATGTTCAAACTGGGATGACAGGGCATCATCTATATTTATGCTAACTGTGTTTTGTGAACAGTAAAGTCACACGTATTTAAGCCAAGGTTCGCACATACTGCAGGCCAGATTGTCATATTAATAATAATTTAAGTATTAAACGTTTAACATGATTGGCACATAGACACCTGGTATATTATTGCACTCTAACAACAAATTACCAGACCCTGACTTTCTTAGCATCTGAGATCTGACTTTTTTCTTTTGATAGATGTTTGACATTGTTCTAATAGATGTGACTTGTCCATGTCCCTGCATGGTTTTGTCTGACACTGGATCTGTCACACCAGTCTGTATCCCAACCAAACCTTAGTCCATCATTTGTCATTATCTTTAGACAATTAATATTATTATAATTTGAATCTGTCTAATGAAGTAGGTTGTGTTTCGAGGAGGTGACAGAATTTCTTTGCTGTGATTCTACAGATGGATTTGATGAGAGCCGTTGGCAGAGGGCAGTGGTGCAGCATATGGACAGAGCAAGTGAGTGAAGAGGTGTAATGTATATGTGCTGCTGCCAGCGCGGCCGAACAGACAGAGAGGTCAGCCTGGTGAAAGCAGAGCGCATGGGCCTGTGCCAAGCCACGTATTTACAACGGCAGAGGTGCTAATTACAGTGCAATCACATACCTGCGGCAACCAGAGGGAAA